CAAAGAGAAAGAAAAACGGTCATTTCAGATGATTATGTGATTTATTTGCAAGAGTCAGATTTTGACATTGGAATTAACAAAGATCCGGTTTCATTTTCACAGGCCATAAAAAGCGCTAAGTTTGATAAATGGATTAATGCCATGAATGAAGAGTTAAAATCCATGGAATACAACAAAGTTTGGGATCTTGTTCAATTACTAGAAAGTTCTAAAAGAATCGGATGTAGATGGGTCTTCAAGACCAAACGCGATTCTAATGGCAATATAGAACGATATAAAGCCAGACTTGTTGCCAAGGGATACACTAAAAAAGGAGGCATTGATTATAAAGAGACCTTTTCACCGGTCTCAAAGAAAGACTCATTAAAAATTGTTTTGGCTTTGGTAGCTCATTATGATTTAGAGTTACATCAAATTGATGTGAAAACTGTCTTTCTTAATGGAGACCTTGAATGAGGATGTTTATATGGACCAATTAAAGGGTTTCGAAATTAAAGAAGAAAAAAATCAAATGGTGTGTAAGCTAAAGACGACAATATATGGACTCAAACAAGCCTCACGACAATGGTATATAAAGTTTAATGATACCATAACATCTTTTGGATTTAAGGAAATTACCGTTGATCGGTGAATATACCAAAAGATTAGTGGGAGTAAGTTTATATTGTTGGTCAAGTATGTTGATGACATTTTACTTGTTGCTAATGATTTAGGCATATTGCGTGAGACAAAATACTTGCTCTCTATGAACTTTAAAATGAAAAAAATATGGGTGAGACATCCTATGTGATAGGGGTAGAAATATTCCATGATAGATCACAAGGATTATTGGTACTGTCTCAAAAGGTTATATCGAAAAAGTTCTAGAGAGATTTAACATGAACAATTGTTCAGCAATAATAGTTCCTATTCAAAAAGTGGACAAATTTAATCTCATGCAATGCCCAAAGAATGATGTAGAACGAAAAGAAATGAAAATAATTCCTTATCTTCTATTTTTGGAAGTTTGATGTATGTTCAAACTTGCACAAGACCGTATATTAGCTTTTTGGTCAGAATGCTAGGAAGATATCAAAGTAATCCTGGAATTTACCACTGGAAAAAAAAAACTACAAAGAACATTTGTGGCATGTTGTGAAGCCACAATTCATGCATTATGGCTGCAGAACTTTATTTTCAGGACTTGGGGTTGTCGACACCATTACCAAGCCGCTGAAAATTTATTGTGATAATACTGCAACAGTATTCTTTTCCAAGAACGATAAGTACTCCAAAGGTGCCAAATATATGAAATTAAAGTACTTTACTGTTAAGGAAGAAGTTCAGAAACAAAGAATGTTACTTGAGAATATTAGAACTGATCTCATGATTGCAGATCCGTTAACAAAAGGCTTACAACCAAAGACATTTAAAGAACATGTTCAAAGAATGGGTCTTGGTTGTACTTATGATTGATGCACTTATGATATTTTTACACTCTGAGCTCAAATTATATGTTTTTGATATACATTAATGAATTTCTTGTTTCTCATAATGGTGTACACATTATTGTTTGAGATATCACTAGATAAGTCTCTATGAGACATTATTGTGGACCATAAAATGTTATATGTTTTTATAGCTTATGAACCTAGTATGATAAGTTGCTAATGCAGTAGTATATGGAAGGAAGTATGTAACTTAAAATTTATGTACAACCGCCATAACTCGCATTAGTAGTTTGTTATATTGCAGTATTTATGATGGACATTGTAGAAGAGATTTATTTGATGCGCAACTAATGTTTATTAAATATTAATGTTATATGGTCATTGGGCCAAGTGGGAGAATGTAAGAATTATTATTTATTTACTATTAATTATTTCTTACTTATGGCCCAAGTTTACTTGGAATCAAAGTAATACCATAAATAATATTTAATAAGGAATAGATCTCGTCCGTACATTGGTTACTTGATGGACGTACCAGATTAAGTCATAACCTCTATAAATTGGTCCTCCCTCCACCCATTAGGGTTACCACATATTCTCTACATTAATTCCAGCGCTGATGGTTGTGGTAACATAAAGTTAGGGCAAGGAGGTAGAAACCAATTTACGACTATCGCTTCCGCTTTTCTCTGTGATGATGTCTTCCTCATCAGGTATGTTCCCTAACATTCTCTATGTAAGATTATCATGTTCAAGATCCTGAAAGTATTTAATCTTACAAGATATACTTAGAAACTCCAAATTTCACACCATCGGAATGAAACAGTGTTACGGGAATGAAACATGTTAATTAATTATCGACCAAGGACGACAAAAATGCTCAGAATACCAATTCTTCTTTGGAACTCTCTGGTGTTAAGATAGGCTTGTTGGAATTCTTGTCCAGGTAAAGTCCAAAGAAGACAGTAACTAGTACAAGGAAATGAAAAGTGCTCAATTCACTAATTGTTTTATTACATTCAAAAAACAAAATAGTGCAGCTAAACACCATTATTTCTGGTTTCTTTCAAGCATTCAAAACATAATCACAAATAGATAGGTCCAAAACCACTCAAATGAAATTACAAACTTCAAGTAGTACTATACGACAACTTTATTGAAGAAACAAAAATAGTGCAGCTAAATACCTTTATTTCTGGTTTCTTTCCTGCATTCAAAACATAATCACATATAGATAGAGTTAATTAGGTCCAAAACCACTCAAAGACTTCAAGTAGTATTAAAAAAGAAACCAGGTAAACAAAAAGGTTCATATTGATTTGCAGCTCAGAAAAGAACACCATGACTTCTATGTTTCCAGAAATGCGTTCTTGATTTTGTTAAGCCTCTTCACTACTTCTTTCATGGTCACTCTTGATTCTGCCATTTCCATTGTGCAGTCTAAACCCAATTCTATCATCGACGCTACACAGATTTCACTTTTATAAGTGACTTGTTCTTCCTCACAAAAAAGATTGACATCCACAACGTCCATCATACTCCCTGAAAATGATAGTGTAATCCATTCCCTCAAGTCAAGATTTCCATTGCATATCTCTTCATCTGTTGGCTTTCTTTTGGTCAAAACCTCCATCAACATGATTCTGTAGCTATAAACATCACCACTAGTGGACACTATTCCCTCCGAGCCATATTCTTAGAAAAAAGAAGAAGAAAAGTTACTCAACTGAAGTACAACAATAATTCTGCATAAATAAAGACTTGCTCTTTTTCTTTTTAGACCTTAGAGAGGCTTAATTATGCTAAATCCAAGTCTCTGAGCTATGCTAAATCCAATACCTTGTGTAGAAGTTGTAACAATCACCACTTTCCCTTCAAGTTTGGGGGTCAATCACTAATTATCAATGGCTCACTGGACTAACGTTAATACATGAAAAATGCCTAAAATCCTTTTTTTGTGATAGCGAGTCAATGCGATGTTCCTCTGATTTTTAAAAGCACATTTCCTGTTCTGCATCTAAAGTCCAAAGAATACAGTAATTAGTACAAGGAAATGAAAAGTGCTCAGTTTATCAAAAAAAGTTTATTGAATACAAATAATGAACATAAAGCAAAATAGTGCATTCAAAACATAATTACAAATAGATAAACTAAAATAGGTTTAAAATACTCAAATGAAATTACAAACAGTATATGACTCCAAGTAATACTATACGAAGACTTTACTAAAGAAACAAAAAGCATCATATTAACTTGCAGCTCACAAAACAACACCATCCGAACAGATGCTGATCACTTCTATGTTTCCAGAAATGTGTTGTTTATTTTGTTAAGCCTCTTCACTACATCCTTCATAGTTATTCTTGATTCTGGTGTTTCCTTTGTGCAATCTAAAGCCAATTCTATCATGGAGGCTAGGCACATTTCACTTTTACAAGTGATTTGTACTTCCTCACAAAAAAAATTGGCATCCACAATGTCCATCATACTCCCAAAAAATGATTGTATTATCCATTTCCTCAGGTCAAGATTTTCATTGCATAGCTTTTCATCAAGATTGTATTATCCATTTCCTCAGGTCAACATGATGCCATAGCTATAAACATCACCACTAGCAGACACTATTCCCTTCGAGCCATATTCTTAGAAAAGGATTGAAGAAAAGTTACTCAATTGAAATACAACAATAATTCTGCATAAATGAAAACTTGTTTTTTTCTACTTGTAGAATTTGGAGAGGCTTAATTATGATATAAGAGAAAATCAAAGAGAGTAAATTTTTTTATACCTGGTGCTATGTATCCAAGAGTGCCCAATGTCTCGGTTTAAGCCATGAACTTGCTTATGGCTAAAATTTTAGAGATTCCAAAATCACCAACATGAGCCACCATATCTTCATCCAAAAGAACGTTGGCCAGCTTTAGGTCGCAATGAACTATTGGAGTGACATGACCATGATGTAGATATTCAACTGCCATAGCTACATCAAGCATTACAGTGACCCTTTGACGAAGGTTCAAGTGGCGATCTTCTTTGTACAGCCAATTTTCTAGACTTCCATTGGGCATAAATAGCAGAACAAAGGCTCTTATATAGTCACTAGAACATGTAGTAATCACTGGAACAAGATTTATGTGTCTAACATTTCTCATCACTTCACATTCGGTATCAAACCTCTTGCATACTTTCTCATTTTTCAAGAATTCAAGCTTATCAAGTTGGCAAAGGATAATGGAATTTGGCCAAAAAATAAATTGTTGGATAGGTCAAGATACTACAGGTTTTGGAGTTCCCCCAATCTGGTTGGTATCACACCTGAAAAGTGATTATTGTAAAGATATAGTTCTACAATGGCTTTAAGTCCCCCCAATATCTGATGGAAGCTCTCCCTCTATTGAATTTTGTGACACACTTAGATAGAGAAGACCACTCATCTTCCAAAGGCTCAACAGAAATTTTGATGAAAATTTATTAGAACCCAAATAAAGCTTTAGTAGCATGCTAAGATTTCCTAAGCATTTTGGAATTGATCCAGAGAGCTCATTACCATACAGATTTAATTGAACCAAATTAGATAAATGGCTCTGGAATATGTCCCTGCAATTTATTGTTATATAGATACAGCCCTTGAAGTTGTTTAAGCTTACCAACATCAGAAGGAATACTCCCTGTCAAGTTGTTTCCTTGGAGGCTTAGGGATGTAAGACCGGTCATGTTGCCTATACTTGTGGGGATCAGGCCATTGATGTGTGCATCTGCTATATGAAAGTCTTCAATAGTAGATGAAAGATTCCCAATAGAATTGGGCAGAACGGCAATCAATGGATTGTTACCCACTTGTAGATATTTCAACATCCTACAGTCCACCAAAGAATTGAAGAATCGCAACTCATGCTCTGTTGGTTCATTAGTATATAGGAGCAGTGCTCGCAACTCACGGAGATTCCCCAAATTGTTAGGAATAGTTCCGGCAAAGAAGTTCTGTGCTAGATCCAGTATCTCAAGCTTAGAAGCATTTGTTATGAACAATGAAATGTCTTCTTCCAGTTGATTGTCTCCCAAGATAAGATCCTTAATGTTTGGAAGATGAAGACCTGTAGTGGTTGGAATTCTACCTGAGAGGTTATTGAAACTGAGATCAATTATTTCCAAAGAAGATATTTTGAAAATATCCTCTAGAATTTGACCAATAAGATTATAATTCTTCCCAAAGCTTAATTGCCTCAAATTTGATAGCTTCCCTTGTTCTGAAGGAATTTGCCCCACTATATGATTGTTTTGACAATAAATATATCGCAGGGTGGAAATATTTCCCAATGAAGTAGGAATAGTCCCTTTTATTGGATTGTCGCCAATCAAGAACGTCTCGAGCTTGGATAAACAACCAATATTTCTCGGTATGTCTCCAGTTATATTGTTGAAAGATATGGAAAAAACTTTGAGCTCTGTGAGTTGGCATATGCTGGAAGGAATGCAACTAGAAATTTGGTTGTTAGATATACTTAAAAAGTACAGATTCGACACATTATTCCCTTCATCTAGCAAGAGAGGACCAAAAAGGCTATTGAATGACAGAGATACGCCAAGTAGCGACGAGATATTAAACAGTGTACTGGGAATGGAACATGTTAATTGATTATCCAACAAGGACAAGTCTGCAAGTTGGCTCAGATTACCGATCTCCTTTGGAATGTTGCCGCTGACTCTATTCCCAGACAAAATGAAGTTCATCATTTTTGTGGCATTTCCAAAAGAAGGAGGGATCATACCCGTGAGGCTATTGTTGGTGAGATCCAAGACTCTGAGTTTGGGTACATACCATGGCCCTTTCCACATTTTACCACTGAGTTCATTGAAAGCCAACGAAATTACTTGAACTCTCTGGTTTTGAAATAGATTTGTTGGTATACTTCCGTTGAGTTGATTGTTTTTAACATCAATCACTCGAAAACGAGGCATTTGGCCAAGTCCAAAAGGGATGCCACCGCAGAAGCTGTTGTTCTGGAGATTGAGAACACTGAGGAAGGACAAATTGGCCAAAGACGGGGAAATTGTGCCTTGAAGTTGCAAATTAGGAAGTGCCAAGGTCACAACCCTTTGGCTCTTTCGAGTGCAAGTGACACCAAACCAAGAGCAAAAAGAGGTATTTTTTGTCCACTTATTGGCCAAAAAATAAGTGGGACTTGTAACAAGATTTCGGAAAGCTAATAGAGCTTGTAGGTCAGTCTCATTTGAGGAAGCAAATGATAAAGAAAGTTGAATTAGAAAGAGAAGAATCAAGAAGACAATGTTCTTCTTCATGATATTACTATGCACTTGGAAACAGATTGATACCTTTGTTTTTCAAATGTATTATGAAGTAATCTCACAAGTGTATGAAGTCTTACCCTTAACCTTTTCCAAGCCTAAATGCTTTTGATTATCTCATTCAAGTTTCTATTTTTGTTTAAAAGGTAAGAATTCCATCCCCACTTGTATTTATTTATAAAGAGTATCAGTTTGTGTTTGACTAATTGATTTGAGAAGAAATTAAAGATTCCCACAAACTTTTATTGCAATATCATCTCACATTGGCCAACTTTATAAAGACAAAAACATATGGATCATATATATTGTATGGTCCAAAACCAAGTCAATGGAAGTCTCTACAGTCTAAGATAAGATTAGAAAATAGCATGTCGTTTGACCTTTTGTTACTGAGACAGTACAAAGTTTATGTGTGAAATTTTATTAATATTAATGTTGGAATATATACGTCCACTCAGCTACGATAGGACCAGGTCCTTAGCACAATTTACAAGGACAAAAGCAGATAAATACTAAATGTAAATATATACTGAAAGTACATATTGTACACACAACTTTACGTGGAAACCTCCTTGCTCAAGGGAGTAAAACCACGACCTGTCTCACAGGGATTTTCAAATTGCTTTCACTAATCTTCACAAGCAAGAGTAAAACACAGTTTACAACTTGAGATTAACCTGCTAATCTCCACACTAAGTAATATCACCTATTACTTAACTGAGCCTAAGAAGATACAACACTGTCCACTATACTAATCCTAACTGATTAATATAGAATTTTATGTAAGATACTAAGTTACTCACAACTAAGTTCTTACAATGATTCACACAAGCTTCAAACGTTTCAATCACAAACGAAACGATTCCTACAATATAAGCACAATTACAAGCACTCAAGGTAACAGCTGGTACAGAAAGCCATAATACACTCTATCAGGTCTCTGCTATTTTGAAGCTTGAATATCTCTCTTTGAATGAATGAATAATTTTGTTGTTTGTGAGTTGAATATATCAACCATGAAGAGCTATTGTCCAGCGTACAAACAACCTCGTTCGTTCTGATTGGTTCAGGACACTGGCATCTCACCAACCTTCTGACGCAGACAACTTTCCAGCTATACAACATATGACCCTGGACGAGCATACTCTGCAGAGGACCGGGTCCGTGCATTTGTAAGGAGATCATCAAAACATTTGGGAGCATTAACACTTATCAATTAATAATAAATAGTGGACATGAACTTACAATTTTAAATCATTGAATAAAAAGAACTATTCAATTTAAAATAAATCCAATTCGTAGTGGTTTACTATTACATTTTTGGGCTAATGTGTGGCTTCATTTTGATGAAAATCGAGGTAATTTGTTAGTGCATGTTACAATTGTTTGGTGAGCACACAATTGATGGCTCAACTTCATCAAACAACACTTACCTTTGCTAGATAGAGAAGAAGAGGTGTTTTAGGGCTTCTTTATGTTTTAAAGATAAATTGGGTAGGTCAATGTTATAGATTAAATCAGGTCATATTATTGGCGTTGGGCAAGTTATATCTGAATTGGATTTTGTCACGACCCGATTTATCAAGTCATGATGGCACCTACTATAACCCACCAGCAGGTAAGCCAACTCGTAACCCGGAACAACAAGTAATGGGTCTGAGGGTAGAAATTAAATAGGAGTAGGCAAATAACAATATAAACAGGCGGAAGCAAACCAAAAACATATATACAAATAAAGATCCCTCCCAGAACCTGGAAGTCACTAGTACAGAGCTACTACAAAATGAGTACAAGTCCTAGAACCGGACAACAGAGACTGGACTGTCTCGAAAGGAAAAAGACAAGTCTATATATACAGATGGAGACTGAAATAGTACAAAACGTCGTGTGCTCACCCCCGTCTCCGGATAAGTCTACTCCAAGCTAGATCAACGCTGGCTACTAGTGCTCGGACCTGCATCACAAAATAGATGCAGAGCGTAGCATGAGTACCAAAACAACAAGTACCCAGTAGGCATCATCGGTCGACTGAGCAAGATAAGCAAAAGTAAACTGAAATGCAAATAAAGGGTCACATCAAGTGCAAAGAGTAGTAAATGGGGGTATGTACACGAGCGTACAGGCAACAAAGACAAGCAATCTAACTAACTCCGCCGGGCTCCCATAAACCCGACGGGTACGCTCGTGCACAATAAAAGAAACCACCTGAACGGACCCCCATAAGCCCGGCATATGGACCGACAGTTGAAGTAAAATAATGGAGCTAGAAGGTCTATCACAATATTACCAAATTCCGGACTTTTAACTGAACCATTCCCAATCATATTCCAGGATTTCATTACGTCCCGGACTTTAATCAGAATCTCTCCAACCTCCAAAACCTCAACCTACAGATGAGAGTAATCAAGACTAAACTGAAGCTTTAGTGAGGAATTAGGAATACACCACGTGCAAGCTGGACCACGGACTCGAACCGGGTACTATAGCTAATGAGTCAACCTATATGGGCTGGACCACGGACTCGAACCGGGTGCTGTAGCCAAAGGTCGGGCACGGGTGGGCTGGACCGCGGACTCGAACCGAGTACTGTAGCCAAAACCAGATCACAGGTAAGCTGGACCACGGACTCTAACCGGGTACTGTAGCTAATAGAAAAGCAGGGCATTATGGATACAAGGTCATAAGCTGAGTTACCGACTATCAGACTCAAGTCTGCTATATCAGTCTACAAGGAGCTGACCGTCCGAAACGACGTCGGAAAAAGTTCTATTGCCCAACGACATCCGAAATCTCGCAAGTCTAAGGCAACACTAGTCTAAGCCTAGACTAAGGCCAAACATACTTCAATTCAATATTATCATATACACCACAAGATATGGATATTCAATAATATCAAGAGACATGCTGTCATAATCAAACACTTTCCCGAAATAAGGTCTAAGGCAGGAATTATAGAAATTTAGCGTGCTCGACACCCGAACCCCTCCATACTCAAGCAAATCAATAAACAACTGCCTAAACATGCTCAATCTCACGAGAGAAAGCCATAGCCTACCTGAAAGCCGATCACGCGTGCTCCGACTCACGGTACCGGATCTTTTCCTCTCCGAACGGTCTCCAAATGTTTCCCCACTAACAAAAGGTTAATCACCTCGTCATTACGAATAAATTGACACTAAAATTATATTTTTCGAAGACGGACCCAAAATCGGGTCTAAAACGGGATTGTGGGGCCCACAATTAGAATCTCAAAATCGACTCCGTGGAAACGTCCCAAATACCTTACTAAACTAATACCCCAAAATTATAGCACAAACAGATGCTTAAAACACCGCAAATCAGCCACAACAATTAAAAGTAGCAGGCCCTAGTTCACCAATTTCCGGAAAAACGAGGCCCTTTCAACCCAAACAGATTATACCACGACGATCCTTGCGAAAAACTCTACAAGTTAGCCCCAAGAATGACTCAAAACGGACTTACAATGATCAAGATATCACATTTCAAAATTCAACAACAAAACCATCCGGAAATCACCCTGGCAGTGGCTAAAAATCGATTTCTTACCTCAAATGAAACCTCCCCTCGCGTTTCTGAGACCACCGCTAGATTCCCCTCGAAATTCTCTTGAAGTTTGCCTTTTGAATCACTTAATTTGGACTAAAAAAGAAGGAGCAATCTCAAGTTGAAGTTGAAGGAAAAAAAATAGACGAATTTCGTCTTAAATTCTGGAAATTTCCAGATTTCACTCCTCTGCCACGTGTCGTCACGTGGCTCTGCCACGTCACCGCCGCGTCAAAATTCTACAACCCTTCAAACTTAAGTTTTGATGTTTCGGACTCGTTCGGAGTCGGAAAAATACAAACCTTATATGGAATCTGATTGGAAATGATATTTCGGACTCAACGGTGAAGGCGGAATTTCCATTTGGAGCTCGCTTCGACGAAAAGTGGGTCCCACATCCAGTATCGTTTTGAACCAGATTCCACAACTGCTATTTAAAATCTCGGGAAGTGAACAAAGGGTCGTTCTAGAACAAAATCGATCTTCCGAAGCTAACCTAGCCGTCAAAATTTTCATCTGAGCACGACTTCCAAGAAGGTTGACGAAAGTCAACTTTTCAAGTTATAAAAATCTCCAAAACAGGAAAACGGGCCTAAAACCCAAACGAACGACCAGGCGACCGAACAGTCAGTGCCAGCAAGTCATAAATGACTTGGGGTCGCTACAGGAATGCTCTAAACGATGAAATGAATTCTTTAATTTAAAAAAAAAATGACCTGGAGGGTCATTACAATATCCACTACTAAAAGAACTTTCGTCCGCGAAAGTAAGAGTCAAGAAGTACCTGAATGCTCAAATAAGTCGGGGAACTGTGCCCGCATCTCATGCTCGATCTCCCAGGTAGCCTCCTCAACTGGACGATGTTTCCAACGGACCTTAACAACAGGAATGGCTCTCGAGCGCAATCTCCCCACATCTCTGGCTAGAATGGCAACTGGCTCCTCTACAAATGTCAAACGATCATCCAACTCGACTGCATCATACTGGAGCACATGGGACTCATCAGGAACATACCGCCGCAACATCGAGACATGAAAAACCGGGTGGATGGCTGAAAATGCTGGAGGTAGGGCCAACTCATAAGCAACCTCTCCAACTGTCCGGAGTATCTCAAATGGCCCAATGTACCTGGGGCTAAGCTTGCCCCGCCTCCCAAACCTCATCACGCCCTTCATGGGCGACACACGGAGGAATACCCGATCACTAACAGAGAATCTCAAAGGCCGGCGCCTCCGATCCGCATAACTCTGGTGCCTACTCTGAGCCGTCCTGAGCCTATCCTGAATCACCCTCACCTAATCCAGGGCCTCCTGAAGCAAATCTGTACCACGCGGCCTAGGCTCTGTAGACTCAAACCAACCAACTGGAGAGCGACAACGCCTACCATATAATGCCTCGAATGGGGCCATCTGAATACTAGAGTGGTAGCT